GAGAGAGAGAGAGAGAGAGAGGATGGATACGCACGGTTGAGCTTGACGCCGTTGAGCGGCGCGTTGGACATGGTGGAGGAAGGGCCAGCTGGGACGCTCTTCGATCCAAAGTGTTGATGCTAGCGCTTGCTCGGGGGTGGTGCAAGCGGGTATGGGGACGGTGGTATGACGCGTACCGATGATGCCGTGGCTGCGCGGGACGAGTGCTGAGACGCGGCTAGCTCGAAGATGCAGAGCGTGTTTGTCGTCCGAGGATGATGCGGCGGTTGCAGGTGCGATCCACGCGAGATGCTATGCGTGGGAGCCGGGCGGACGAGGGATGCTGAGCAGTTTGATGCAAGGCCGAGGATGGCAGAGCGGTGCAGCGTAGCAGGGACGATGGTCCTAGGAGAGAGATGCTGGAGAGTCGTGGAAGGAGATCGAGAGGTGTTTTTTCTCCGCTGCACTGTTTGTGGACGGTAGTAGCGGTCGTGGGATGGTGATGGAGCGGATGAAGGGGAGTGACGATGGCAATGGCGACGGGCGGTGAACGGACGCGGAGCGTAGAACGCGCAAAGTGGAGCTCTGCAACCGACCAATGGCTGGACGGGGGCAGACGAGCAGATGAGCGGCCCACCGAACGGGCCAGCCTGGCTGGCTGCTTGGCTGGGCTTGACTGGCTCGCTGCCTCCATTTTGCTGTCCCCTCAGCCTCCGCCTGACCTCGCCCCCCGTCCGTTGGCCCCTGCTCTGCCTGCCTCACGTCGATTCGACTCGCGACTCGCGGCTCGTACGCTCTGCTCTCTTTCTCTCTGGCTGGCTGGCTGGCTCGCTCGCTCGCGTCTGATTTTTGATTGGAGCCCTAGGTGGCACGGAGGATTTTTACACTGGACTGAAGCTCATGAGCACACTCGAAAATCCGACAAAAAAAAAGATGGGTTGCTCCTCGACGCTCATTTGCCCCTTTTGAAGAGGCGATTTGAAATGGGTGCAGCTCGAGTGTAATGAAAAAGTGTTGAACCGAGCGCCAGCTGCATCTCAACAAAACGAGCCACATCCCAAGGCCACAGACGACAGCTCAGCCTCTGCTGCCACACAAGTTGGCAGATTTCCAACGCAGCGGAGGGCTAGAACGCGTCTCAAAAACAAGCTCGTCCCTGGCAGAGGGGGGAGAGAGAGCACTGGCCCTCTTTTGGTGCTCCGCGTCTTGTTTCTGCGGCTGAGCCCCACAACCCCGCCCAAGCAGCCAACCAGCAGCAAGGAGCACGCTCGACTTTCGCCTTTTTGGCTCGAAATCAGGATGGCCCGAGCACCGCGCGGCGGCTGACACCAAACTTACATTTGGGCTGCATGATGGCCACAAGAGCAACCCCTCGACTGCCAGCTGTTGCACCTCTGTGTCAGCGTCACCAACATGGCCTTGCATTCTCCGGACTGGTCGTACTCGGCATCTGCAATAGGCGCTGGGGGTGATACAATTGAAGCCTGCATCCGACGATCACCAACAATCACCAAGCAGATGGCAGCATTGGCCGCAGCTCACGACACCAACGACCAGCCGCGGAGTGCGCACGACAATTGGGCTCGCTTCCAAGGTGGCGGCCTCCTTCAGCCGTCTGGTTGGCACGCACCACGTGACGCTCTCGCTCCAAGCGCACACCACAACCATCCCTCAGGGCGGCGGCGGGAATGTTGGGGAGGCCAAGCAGACTCTCTGTTATTTTTTATTTTGTTTTTTTGTATTTTCTCCTTGGAGACACTCATTGCCTGTCGGACTGGCTGCATGCGCTTCACCTGTCACAGGCCTCGCCTACAGCAGCAACCTCCCTCAGTCAGAGATCGGCGATATCAGCTTTGGACGTGACAGCGACCACTCGCCAACGTTGCGTCAACTACTGCTACATGGCTGAGGGTGGTAGACGGGTCTTTCAAAGATGCTACAACCAAGTCCGAGCCTCCACGTCTTTCATTCCGCCCGCATCAAACGGGAGTCGGACGTCGTGAAACTCTTCGCACGCTTGGCGACTCTCCTCATGAAATGGTCAAACTGCGCTCCCCATCGATGGCAAGAGCAGTTGACGCCATCAATTTGCCCTGCCTCCCCTTCATGAGTGAGTATCTTATCAGGAAATGCACAATGAACCAACTGGCGCACAGTGGGTTTCGTATGGGCCCATCGTCTCGCCCGGCCTTTTTCTCCGGAGCTGCTTCTTGCTACTACCATGGTGAGCCAGCCCAACTCGCTCTTGAAGTTTGATGGCTCGATCAACTGAACCTTGGCACAATTGCAAATACTGTGTAATGAAGCTCGTGAGTTCAAACCACGCCAAAGCCACAAGCCATGCGCTGGCCCACCATCCCTGCCGCAAATCAGGTTACCACGCCGTTGATCCCGCTGGTGGGCTCAACGTCCCCACTGCCGATCATGCAGGGAGCAGAGCACAAGTATCATATGCGCCGTATCCCTGTGTCAAGTCCCGTCATCCATCTCGACCCTAACTCCCCGAACGCCGCTCCGAGCTCCCCTTCCAATGTCCATAAAACCCGGATGCGGAGGTCCTCCGAAAGGATCTGTCCATCATCACACCCTCCCCTCCACTCCCCTTCCCCTCCACGCTTGCACATGCTTTGGTTCCCCTTCTCCCCTTCCATTCCTTTTTCTGTCCGCTCATACCGTAGCAAAATGAGAACAGCTACCAGCCTCGCGGCGCTCGCCCTCACGGCGGCTTTGGTCGCCACTGGCACCGTCCAGTCGGCCTCGACCCCTATTCCTTCCGAGACCTCACCCGAGGCTCAGAGCTGCAAAGTGCTCCCCGACATCCTCAAAAAGGTCCTTGCTGCCGGTGTGGCCACTGACGGCAAAGCACTCGACATCGCCGACCTATACTCGGAATTCTATCCCGCTGGCGCCAACCCCACCGCTAAAGAGCTCTACGACGCCATTCCTGCCGCTGCCTTCGGTCCCAAGGACGATCGCGATGGTGCGATCTCAGGTTCTGGTGGTTGGGACAAGGACGCAGTCATCGCCGACGACGGCTACGGCGAACAAAGCAAGTCCACATACGCCAAGGATGGCGGACTTCCTTCGTTCTGCCGAGTTGGCGGTACCGTTCGCACATCCGAGACCAGCAAGTCCCAATTCGAAGTCTGGATGCCTGTCGCTGACGCTCCCGTCGGCAAGGATGCCCCCGCTCCTGAAGCATGCACGCAAATCGATGGCGTCGATGTCACAGATGTCGCCAAGACCTTCAAGTGTGTCTCGACCAGCGGCTAGAGCAAGCGACTCGTCTTCTCCGTCGGAGGCGGCCTCCGCGGTGCCGTTGCGTACCCCGGGATGAAGCAGACTATGGCCCGATACCGCACTGCCGTCGCTGGAACCAACATGGGTCATTTTGGCGCTCAGGACGGTATCACGTGGCTGCCTGCCAACCAAGAGGCTTGGACCGACTACGGCCACCGTGCTGTTCACTTTACCTCGCGCGTCGCCCAGCAGGCTGTCCGTATCTTCTACGATGCCCAGCCTCACCGCGTCTCTTCTCCTAACTCTTCCGTTGCCCCGATCGACGCCAAGAAGCAAGTCTTCTACACCTACTTCAAAGGCTGCAGCACGGGCGGACGGGCTGCCATGGCCGCGGCTCAGAAGTACCCCAAGGACTTTGATGGCATCATTGCAGGCAGCCCCGCCTTCGACTTCAACAACCTCAAGGCCTACCAGATCCACGTCAATTCGTTCCTCGCCAACAACAAGAGCGAGGGCTACATCCCAACCGATGCGTATCCCCTCATCAGCACCGCCGTGCTGAAGGCGTGCGACAGCGCGGACGGCGTGGAAGACAAAATCGTCTCCAAAGCTGATACGTGCAAGCCCGACTTTGCTACCCTGATCGGATGTTCCAAGCTTGGCGTTAAGCCCTACGATGATGCTGACAAAATGCCGGCGCCTGCTGATGCCGCCGCCGGCCAGGAACAAAAGGCTCCTGCTGCTAACAGCAAGGATTCGAAGCCGGCCGAAGCTCCGGCCAAGGAGGAACCCATTAAGCTTCTTGCACGCAGAGACCCTGCTAGCACGGATCCAGTAGCTGGCCCTGAGCTGGAGCCAACGAAGAAGGACGACGCCAAGGGCAAGGACAAGGAGGACAAGGACGCCGAAAAGGATCCTGCTCCCAAGTGCCTTACCGATCCTCAGCTCGAAACTCTGGCGAGCATTTTCAGGCCGTACACGATCGACAACGAGCTGATCAGCGAAGGAGTGCTTCCATCCAGTGTGTATGGATGGCAGTACATTAACGCCGTCACGGGCAAGTTTGGCTCGTCTCCCGTCAGCTGGTTCCAGCTCGAAGTTCTGGGCGAGAAGGATGCGAAAGCCAAGTTCAACGCCACCGAAAAGGTGACTCCCGAGGTGATAAAACAAGGCCAGCAGCTCAACCCTGGCGGAACGATCACTTTCGACTCTGATCTCAACGAGTTCTTCAACGCCGGTGGAAAGTTATTGCACTACCACGGCTTGGACGACTCGCTGGTTCCGCCCATGGCCTCGCGTCGCTACTACGACCAGGTGCTGGAGAAGGTGGGCGACAAGGCCAGGTCGGCCTACAAGCTCTATCTGATCCCCGGTATGCTGCACTGCCGAGGAGGTAATGGCTGCTTCAACTTTGGTGGCACGGGACAGGAAGGGGCTGGTAATCGACCGCTTCGATACGATGCGACGCATGACATGTTCCTCGCGCTCACCGAGTGGGTCGAAAAGGGCGTGGCGCCCAACGTGCTCTTTGGTGCTGCATACAAGACCAAGGAGGGTACCGCTCCGCAAAAGTTCTCCGATGACACTCCGTTCAGCAACAGTGTCCGTCTGACGCGTCCGCTCTGTCCCTGGCCCACCGCCGCCCGTCTCAAGGGCAAGGGCGGTGACACCAACGACGCAGGTGCCTTTGAATGTGCTTAAGCTCGAGACTTTGTGCGTCGCCATCACATCAGTCTTTACTCAGACGTTTGCAGCTCGTCTCTATTGAATGTTCCCGTAACTCGCCCTCTAGGCTGTCACTCGCTTCTCTCACTCGTTTTTCTCTGCAATATCGAGCCAGTTCGCTCGCTCATCTGATGTTGGCTAGTGAATTGTCTGTGTGGCGCATTGAGAAAGAGTCAGACATCTCCGAATCTCAACGAGCATCACAAAGCACAGCAAAGGATAGCGAAAGCAGGACAAGCTTGACGGACACTATGATTCGCAAACACAAAGACTCTACGCATGCATATGGACTAGAGCGAGATCTTGAGCGTCTTGATCTCGAACGGACGGAAGTCGAGCTGGACGTACGTGTGGTCCTTCTCGTCGGCATACGTGTTGAAGGCAAGCTCTTCGGACGACTTGTCGTCCACGTCCTCGAGCAGGTTGGTAAGCGCGGTGGCCTTGACGGGAACCGAGATCTTGATCGTCGGTTTGGCATGAGCACCCAGAGACTCGTACAGCCTCACGACGATGCCGAACGACTTGGAGTCCTTGGGCTTCTGGCCGTAGTACTCAAAATCGTCCTCGGCGCGCTTGATAGTGTCGATGACCACGCCGGCTTGCGTGCCGTCCACGAGCTCGATGGGCATCTGCAGATCCGACGAGGCCGTACCCGTGCTGCGCTCCAGCGTCGCAATGTCGACATTCGACTGGCGGCCATAATCGACATCAAAGCGCGCGTTGAACACGCGCGCGACCTGGACCACCTTGCCCTTACCCACGCCGCCGACGTGGGGGTAGAGCGCAAAGGCAAACTGATGAAGACCCTCGTCCTCGTGCGCATCGGGATACGTGCCTGCCTTCAGAAGCGACAGCCTCATCAGACCACCCTCGACGCTGTAGCCATACTTGGACTCGGTCAGGATGCTGAGACCGTAGTCCTCCTCGGACAGGTCGGCAAATCTGTGGCCGCAGACCTCGAACTTGGCCGCCTCCCAGCTCGTGTTGCGCGTAGTGGGACGCTTGGTGATGCCGAACTGTGTCTCGAAGCTGGCGCTGTCGGAGCGCAGACGCGTTGGCACCTCGAAGCGCAGGAAGCGATGCTTCTCCCACCAGTCGATCTGCGTGTCGAAGCGCAGCAGCGGGCGCGCCTCCTTCTCGCCAAGCAGCGGCGTGGCGGGAAGCGCGTCGAGGACGATGCTCATGCGCACGGTGCTCTGGCCAAACTTGGCCTCGAGTGCCAGACTTGCACGCCAGGGACCAGCCTCGGCGATGCGGACGTTGGTGAAGGGGATGCCCTCGGTGGTGTCGAGCGAGTAGAGCTCCGTCTCCCAGTTGTCGAACTGAGGCGGATAATCTTCGGCAATGGCGAGACCGGCGGTGCGTCCAGTCTCGATGAGCTCGCGATCGGCAAGACGGTCGTAGATCGACGTGATGCGGCCCTTGGAGACTTTGACGGCGATGGCCGCGCTTTGAAGCAGGAATGAGTTGTGCTCCAGCTGCTCGGCCCGAACCGCTTGACCTTGGGCCAGAACAGTAGACTGCTTGTCCTGGACAAGAGCTTGACCCCGACCGGTGGCATCCTCGAGCAGAAGCAGGGCGCTCTGACCAGCGTTGCAAAGCTGCATCGACTGGTGCGAAAGCGCGATCGCCTCGGCTCGGGCCATGTTGTCGGACAGCCGCACCTCGATAAGCTCTCGACGCGGCACATCGAGCGTGTTGATGGCGGTGTAGCCCTTGGCGCTCGCTCCGACCGCCTCCTCTCCGACGCCAAGAGCGGTGAGGGCCTTGCGCCACAGCTTCTTGCCTTTGACCGTCATGTCGGCGTACATCTCTTCGAGGTCATCGTACACCTTGCGGATAGCACTGCCGGGCAAGCAGTCGTGGAACTGGTTGAGCAGGAGAGGCTCCCAAATCGCATCGATCTCTTCCTTGGGATACTTGTAGTCGGTAGCCTTGATGGAGGCGAGCGTGGCGATCCACTCGAGCTTCTGCATGAAAGCCTCGAAGCGGCGGTTCCACTGCTTGATGGAGCCATGAGACGTGTACACGCCGCGATGGAATTCGAGGTAGATCTCGCCGGACCAGGTCGCGAGGCGACGGCCGTTGTCTGTAGACTCTCGAACGTGCTCGAAGAAGTCCTTGGCGGAGCGGCCGACGTGGACACGGGGCATGTCTTTGAAGCCGTTGTTATTGGCAGCACGGGCGCGTCGCAGGCGCTCCAGCATGACTTCAGTCGGACCACCGCCACCATCGCCGAAGCCGTACAGCATAAGGGCGTGCGGCTGCACCCAGAGGTCCTGGTTGTTCTTGACGCCGCGCACGATCTCCTCGACCGAGCACTTGGAGTCGTAGTTGTTGACCGGAGTCATGTGAACGATGATCTGCGTACCGTCCAAACCGACCCACATGACGGTGTTATGCGGGAAGCGGTTGATGTTGTTCCAGCTGAGCTTCTGAGTGAAGAAGTAGTCGCAGCCGGACTGGCGGGCGAGCTGGGGGATCTGGGCGTTGTAGCCAAAGGTGTCGGGCAGCCAGAAGATGTCGCAGCGCTTGCCGAAGCGGGATTGGAAGTACCTCTGACCGTAGAGGAACTGACGAGCAAATGCTTCGCCGGAGGGCATGTTGGCGTCACACTCGACCCACGAGCCGCCGATGGGCTGGAAGCGGCCGTCCTCTACGTAGCCCTTGACCTTCTTGAAGAGGTCGGGGTATAGAGTCTCGAGCCACTGGTACTGCTGGGCGGTAGATGCGGTGAAGCGATGCTCGGGGAAGCGATCCATGAGGTCGATCTGCGTCGACCACGAGCGCGCCACCTTCTGCTGTGTGGCTGAGTAGGGCCAGAGCCAGGCGCTGTCGATGTGGGTGTGGCCCAAGGACCAGATGCGCACGTCTTCGCGACCTTTGACGACGTCCTGGTCGTAGATTGAGTCGACGTGATCCTCCCAGTCTTTTCCGAGGATCTCCTGGGCGAGCTTACGGCATCGGGGAATGCTGTCGAGGTCGGCCTTGCGGAAGGTGTTTTGGATCTGGTTGGCGACCCAGAGAGCGCGATTCTGCAGCTCGGTGTCCTTGGAGAGGTTCTTTACGCAGCCTTTGAGCAAGTCAAAGTCCCACAGGAGCTTCCAAGCCTCTGCACGCTTGACGACAATATCGCACGACTGAAGCTCAAAGTAGCGGTTGGGATCGGGATCGCCGCTGCCGTCGGAAGGAAGGCCGAACATGCCGTTGGCGGTGATCTCGATGTAGAAGGTGACGCCGTTGCGGTACTCTTGCTTGAGCGGGAAGTCGACGCGGCGATTGTCCTCGAAGCCACCCGTGATGCCCTGGAGCGGCATGCCGGCCTCGGTGAAGATCATGGCCTCGCATCCTGGATCGAACTCGAGCTGGAGCCATTCCTTGTGCACCCAGTCCTTTGGGACGTTGAGCTTGAGCTTGAGCCAGTGGTTTGTCCAAGAAGGGCCGAATTTGATGCCCTTCTTTGCCTTGACATACGACTGGCGCTTGGCCTCGTCGAAGGACGGCTTGGAGCCTGGCTTGGGTGTCCAGCTCTGGATGGAGACGTACTTTTCTTCGTCGGTGCGCGCCTCGAAGAGGACGGAGGCGAGGTTGTAGTCGCCGAACTGGCCACCCACAAACTCGTCTAGGCGACGCTCGTGGACGGAACGGATGAGGCCAGAGCGGACAGGACGAGACTCTTCCGACGCATGCGTGGGATAGTCGTGCGTCTTGGAAGAACCTCGTGGTGCATCGTGCTGACACATGGTGCCGTCTTTGGAAGTCCAGGGCTCGACAGGCGCAGCGCTTGAACGATTATGTGTTGGACTCGTGGTGGAGTGGGAGGAGGGTGGGAGCGGCGTTCCTCCAGCACACTTTGTACTCTTGCGAGGCCGGTGGGGCAGCGTCCGGCGCTGGTGCGGGGCAGCCGAGCCCCGCCGATGCAGGGTTGCAGTCAGCACGTTGACCTAGGCAGCACAGCACAGCGCGGCACTAGTTGGCGCACTGTCCCACCCCGCACGGACCCTGGCTGTAGGACTTTCGGCAGAGGCGTGCATAAAACCCGCGCTTCCCTCCACTCTCACTTTTCTGAGCCCTTTCAACCCCAACCCTCTCGCAGGAACTCAAGCTGGCGAATCGGCGAGTTGCAAAGTCCTCGCTTCTTGGTCCAGATGGGGCTATCGATGTGATTGATATCGAGACGCGGCTGTTTAGCGCCTCCTCTTGGCCCTCAGACCAAGCATCCTTCTCATGCGAGTGTTGAGGCTGGTGGAAAAGAGGGCGTCTTTAATGTGACCGCGCTGTTGGGTTTTGGTGCGCAACGGAAATTCGAGCGAAAAATCACATAAAAAAAATTGATGCCAAAAAGGCATCAAGGTGAGTGCCAATCTTTGCCTTTCGAGCTACGACAATGCCTCAAGAAGACCTACCTTGAGCAATTGTTTGCGGGCATAGGACCTGGCCTCACTGGTTGTAGCCGGGTTGTTGAGTGCGGCCTGTGTTGAGCGTTGCGCGGACGAAGAGGCAACAGTGTCAGCCAATTCTGCCCAATCTCCTAACACGCTACGATGGGAAGGATCCCCGTTCAAACCGCAGTAGACCCACCTTGTAGCCAGCGAGAACCCGATCCTTGTCTGGGATGCGTCGGTGAGGCTTGTACGTCATAGTGGGCCAAAGACTGATGTATGTGCGTGTGTGAGTCGAGATGGTGTCAAGAAGCGAAGCCGCGACTGATCTACAGCAAGCCACGAGATCTCTCCAGCGCACCAGGCTGTGCCATGTGCTGCTCGCTGCTACGTTGATGGACCGCCAGCTGCTTTCATGTTTCGTGAGGCAGCAGCGGTTGCCGAGGTATGCCCGCAAAAAGCATGCTTGCAGGATCTAGACCGCCTTGTGCTGTGACTGCCACAGCCGAGCCGAGCCAGCCAGTCGCCGGCTCTGCCCACCTGGCAGCTGCAAGCAGGGGCAAGAGTGACACGGCAGGGCCAAATCAACAGAAGCAGCAGCGCGTGTGGAGCAGAGGCCATCACGTGTGGAGGCAAAAGCGGGCCTTTTGCGCTTGGACCCACAAATCGAGAGTCTACGATCAAACAGCCAGCCGCGTAAATTTTTCTGCACGCCTGCGCTTTCCAGAATTCCGTCTTCCTTGGAAGAAGTTGAAGCTGTGGTCGGGTTTCAGTCTCAGCACATCGGACCCCGATCAGGTTGCAACGTGCCCTTCTACCATCATCCTCCATCGCAACTTCATTCGCTCGGACGAGCCTGACAAGATGGCACCCAAAAGTGAGTACAGCTACCAAACTCTGCCGCGGTGCTGCTATGATCGAGGCTGACTTGTCGTTGCTAATCTGCGGATCACCTCTTCGAGCAGCGACCGCCAAGACCGCAAAGCCGGCCACCAAGCCTGCCTCCAAGGCCAAGAAGCCGCTTACAAATGGAGTCTCGAGCGCAAAGGCGAGCGCTGCCAAGCCATCCAAGGCTGCGAGCACAGCCAACGACGGCGCCAAGCGTGGTCAGAAGAGGGCCAAAGAGGTCGAAGAGGAGGAGGACGAGCTTGATGAGGAGCAGGACACCGCCGCACCGCTGCCCGACGTGAAGAAGCGCTCTGCCAAGGCACGTGCTGCCTCCTCCGAGCCCGTCGGCGATGTGGAAATGGCGGACGGCACCGCTCGACCCACCAAGCGCACTCGCCGAGCGCCTACCCCAGCCGGCCCCATCAACTCGGTGCCAAGGCCCATTCAGCCTGTGCACGCCGATGACATCACACAGGGAGTCGCCGTCGAGGTCAGCACGGGCACCACATCCACGAGTGGCAAGGGTGCCGTGCTTCCGCGCAAGCTCTTCGTCTGGGGATCCGGCGATGCAGGCCAGTTCGGTGTCGGCCCGCCCGAAGACGACAAGCCCAACAAACTCAACAAGCCCAAGCCCTTCGGCAACAAGGAGATCTCGATGCAGATCGACGATGGCGACCTGGGCGAGGGCGGCATCCAAGTCATTGTTGGCGGAGGCATGCACTCGGTCATGATCGATGGCCTGGGCCGCATCCTTACCTCCGGCGCAGAAGACTACGGCACGCTCGGACGCAAGCACCGCGGGGCAGCGGGCGACGCTGAAGAGTCCTACTTCAACTTTGCTCCCGTCGAGGGCATCTCGCCGAGCGGTCGCGGCATCAACCCCATCGATGGCAAGGAGGGCACCGTCGAAAAGTACCGCGCCACACGCATTGCTTCCGCCGACGCGGCCGGCGCAGCTCTGGATGACCAAGGCCGTCTGCGCTCCTGGGGCTACTTCAAGGACGGAGAGGGCCGCGTCTGCTTCGCCGACACGGACGCACCGGGCTACAACCGCGAACAGTGGTACCCCATCGCACTGCCTGGCATCGAGAACGAGCACTTTGCTGCTGTGGCGGCGGGCGAGAACCACTTCCTCGCGCTCACGCTGGTCGGAAAAGTATACTCGTGGGGCACCAATACCTGCTACCAGCTCGGACGCAGCTCCAATCCGCGCAGGGTGTCGCAGAAGTTCAAGGGCGAGGCGCCCAAGGACTGCGACCTCACGCCTACGCCCATCACGGGTCTTGCCGAGTGCAAGCGCATCTGCTGCGGCCTCACCAACGGCTTTGCGGTGGAGAAGAGCGGCAAGGTCGTCGGCTGGGGTCTCAACACCAAGGGCCAGACCGGCACAGGGCTCAAGGCGGCCAAGGTCGCCACGCCACACGCCATCGCTGCGTTGAGCCCCGTGCGTCATAACGGCGCCGAGGTGGTGCAGATCGTCGGAGGCAACTTCCACACCGCCTTCCTGCTTTCCAACGGCGAGGTGTACATCTGCGGCGACAGCGACGAGGGCAAGCTCGGCCTGCCTGCGGGACATGCGGCTCTCAAGGGTGCCACATCGTCCAACCCCGTGGTGGTGCGCGAGCCTACGCTGGTGCCGTTCCCTGCGCCGCCCTCCTGGGCTCCCGAATCGACCAAGACCAAGGACGGAAAGACCAAGATTGTGGCGCTGAGCGCCGGAATGCGCTTCACTCTGGCCTTGGCAGCCGACGGCACTCTGTACTCGTGGGGAACCACTTCGGACGATGCTCTCGGACACCCAGCCGACGACGTCGGAGGCGACCAGAGCAAGGACACGCCCACGGCCATCGCCATGCCTGGCCAGCCGGGCGCTTGGCGCATCATGGCCGCCTCCACCGCGGGCCAGCACTCGTTGGCGATCGCCGTCAAGCCGCCTCAGGACGACTGAGAGGCAGATCCATCCGATTCAATGTAATGCAGTTTGACGATCGCAGACTCTTCTCGTTTGCTCGTTCGACACTATGATTGCGTCCACGCTAATTTAGCAGAAGAAGAGCTGCCGTGGAAGCGGCTAGAGTGAGCGGCTAGCAAAGTCGCTCGGGTGTGAGGAGTGGAAATTGCCGCTGGTTCGGAACGGCAACTTGCCGACCGGAAGGAAGGTGTGTGCTTGACCGGACTCTTTCACAACTAGGATGTACCTGATGTCGAGGATCCGGCGTTTTGGTTGCAGATGCCGGACGCACAACCATGTCATTGACATCCGAAGCCGGTCAAAGCCAAAGCGAACTAGGGTCTACCACGCGAATCTTTTGCGACAAGCGACCGGATAGAGCAGGGTTTCGGCGCCGGCCTCCTCCGAAAGCGCGTATCGCCCTCCGTGACGCCGGTCGAATTCGAGGATTTTCGGTCCGCCCGGCGCCCAGCTGCGTCTGCTGCTGAAACGTCGCGGATATGCCCTCTTCGCACTGCGAGAGGCCTTTCCGACCCGAAGCGTAACCTCGGGTGACAGGCAGGTAGCGAGCATGAGCTGCACCTGCTGTTATGCTGGCAGCTCGACCAATTCCAAGATGGGGCTCTTGGCTCTCCTGATGCAATCTCTGAAAAGTCGTTGGCGCCTATCGATGTGAATTTCGCGCGTGAGGGCGCCCCGTGTACATTTTCGAGGCACCCAGCAGAAAGAGGCGAAGGGGCACATCACGGGACCCCATAGCTTGCTGGGAAAGCGTGCTGAACCCTCCACATGGATGGACGCCTAGATCTGGCGAGAGGCTCTGATTCTGGCCTGCCTCTTCCGGATGGCCCGGTCTGAGCGGGCGCTGCACTGCGTTGCAGCCTTGCCTGGACTCGTTTCAGCTGCATCGGCGTACACTCGATCTCGACCAGCTGCGGCCCAACTTTTTCAAAATTTGGGCCCCACCTCGCCCCACTCGCAGTTCACACCGCCCTCTGCCCGACAGTTCTTCCGAGGGTCGCGCGCTGCTGCCTGCTGCGCCTGGGCCGACTGCATATCCGCCCAAAAGATCAAGCCTCTCCAGAATCCGAGTTGCTCACCCGCCCACCTTCACATCTTACATCTGCCATCGATCCATCGTCGTCATCACTGCGACACCATCATCACAGCTTGGGACGAAGCAAAGCACTCGACCTCATCGGCACCTAAGAAGAAGAGCTGCGTCGCCGATCCTCCATCATTACGTCGTTATTCAGATCCATCCTGCCCCGTCCGGCTCGACTGGCACGGTTCAACGTCTCGAGCTCCCACCTGCCTCGCGCTCAGACGATCGCTGCACCTTCCATCCGTCAACTTCTCTCTTTGCCGCAACGGTACACGGTCCGATCGTTCAATATGTCGTCCTCGTCCTCATCAGCTGCGGCGTCGGGATCGCAAAAGAAGCACAAGGTGGCCATCGTTGGCTCAGGTAACTGGGGCTCGGCGATAGCGCGCATTGCAGGCCACAACACACAGCGACACTCGGACATCTTTGAGCACGAGGTGCAGATGTACGTCTTCGAGGAGGACTACAAGGGCAAGCCGCTGTCGCAGGTCATCAACGAGACGCACGAGAACCCCAAGTACCTGCCCGGATGCCAACTGCCAGACAACGTGGTGGCCAACCCGTCTCCCGTAGATGCGGTCAAGGACGCCACTATGCTCGTGTTTGTGCTGCCGCACCAGTTCATCCGCTCGGTGTGCAAGCAGCTCAAGGGCAAGGTGGATCCGAATGCGCACGCCATCTCGATGATCAAGGGCGTCGAGGTGAAGGACGGCAAGATCTCGATCTTTGCTGATGTGATTCAGGAGGCGCTCGGCATCTCGTGTTCGGCGCTGTCCGGTGCCAACATCGCCAACGAGGTGGCGCAGGACAAGTTTTCGGAAACCACGATCGGACACCGCGCGGATGCCAAGGGCCGCGAGAACGCCGAGCTCTTCTTCAAGCTCTTTGACACGCCCACGTTCAAGGTCGGCATCATCGAGGATGTGGCGGGCGTGAGCCTGTGCGGTGCGCTCAAGAATGTCGTCGCTATTGCGGCCGGTTTCACCGACGGCCTGGGCTGGGGCGACAATGCCAAGGCGGCGGTGATGCGCATCGGCCTGATGGAGATGAAGCGCTTCAGCGAAGAGTTCTTCGACGGCGTCAAGCCCGAGACGTTCACCGAGACGTCGGCAGGCGTGGCGGATCTGATCACCACGTGTCTCGGCGGCCGCAACCGCAAGTGCGCCGAGGCCTTCGTCAAGACGGGCAAGCCTTTTGACCAGCTCGAAAAGGAGCTGCTCAACGGGCAGAAGCTTCAGGGCACCGAAACGGCGCGCGAGGTGCACGAACTCCTCGCCGCCCGCGGCAAGGTGGACGACTACCCGCTCTTCAAGGCCGTCTATTCGATCGCCTATGAAGGCATCGACGCCCACGACCTCACCAGCCGCTTATAGCCTGCCTCGCCTCTCCTCGGTCAGCGACCCTCGCTCTGCTTCGTCAAGGTCTACAGTACACACACATGTGCACTCGTCTAGGTATTCTGGGACCGTCATCGTGAATGCTTCTCAATCTGTTCTCTGGCCAATTTCATCTCGCATAACACTCTGGACTGCATAAAGAAAGCAGCGGACGACTCGGGAGTGGCGCATGACGGGTGACGCTTCTGCAGATTGAGTTGGCAACGACTTTGAAATGCAGGGAGGCTAGGAGCGTGAGGATGACATGACGCTGGTGACGCTTGCCCATCCAGGCTCGTATTCATCGTCGCTGGCGTCTAAATCGGCAGCGGAGAGCACTGTGCCTGGGGGCGGACGGCGCAGACGCTGCGACTGGCTCTTTGTGCGGCCCATGGCGACTGCCTGCCGAGCGCGATCGACCGCACTGACGGTGTTGGAGGAGCTGGAAGGTGTGAGTGTTCCGTTGGAGGGCGATCTTGCGAAATCGACAGGTGCGTTGGAGCTCGACTGAGACGGAAACGCATCGACCTCGGCAGAAGGTGCGTCGTGAACAAGGGGTGCCTTGACCGCCTCAGGCCCAAGATCTTTGGCTTCCGCCACCTCATCGCGGGGAACAAGAAGCCCTGGCCCTCGCACTTGATGTGCTGCTGGATCAAGCGGGTCGACGCGGCCCGAGTCGGTCCTTTCCACTTGAGCACGCTCGGGCAGCGTTCCGGAAGCAGCGTAGTCCGCGGGGGGAAGCTTGCTTCCATTGGTGGATGTGAGTCTGGCAGCTTCGAGATCGCGGTCTACATTAGGCACGCCGTGACCCTGTACCCATGGTTCTGGTGCATCGGACTTGGACGGCTGGCCTTGGGCAGCGAGAATCTCGCTCGTGTCGATGGGTCTGGGCACCTGGCCAGCGAGGTCGGAAGGGGCGGGAGCGATCCAAGGTTCTTGATCGGAGGTTTCCGCCTTGTCAGAGAGCTCGAGGTCGTGTGCGCGCTGTCGGATGCGTTCGACGTCGTCGGCGGAGCGTCCGTGGATGCCAATCTCGATCGAAGTGTCGGGAGTGGCGTCTGTGGATTCCAAGGCGCCATTGAGCTTGGACGAGGGTGTGGGTGTCGCGGAAGGGGCCTCGGGGAATTCTGGGATCGCGGCCACCGGCGGCTGCTCTGGAAGGCGCTGGTCGGCGTGGATCTTTTGCAGGTCAATCTCGGTAGTTGGGGTGTCTGGAAGCTTTGGCAAGTTGTCGGACTGATCGGATGCGGCGACTCCCTTTGCTAAGACTTCGTCTGTATGTGATGCTGTTTTGTCCTCCGGGCGATTTCGGCCGGTCAAGACGAGGTCATCATCGAGTTCGGCGAATGCATCCCTACCGGTTCCGTGGACAATGTTGTCGGAGACGCCTCGTTGGAGACGCGCAGCGCCGTAGCTGGTTGATCGCGGCGCACCGCTGCCGAGGAAAGCACCGCCAGTCATTTGCGGGCGTAGGTTGGCTGTGGCTGGGTCCCCCCATCCGCCGCCAGCGCCAGCACCGAGCCATACACCGCCTGTCATCTGTGGCCGCAGCACACCTTCACCCCAAGCGCCTGTGCCCTTGCCGGCAACGGAGCCTGGGAACTGACGCCGCGCACTGCGGATCTCTGGATTCGGTGCTGGCGACCCGAAGGAGCTCCTGGGCATGACGGGCTTCTCATCGCTGGATTGGAACTTTGCGATACGGTCGCGCACGGCGTTGGCGGCCGAGGCACTGCCCGAAGGGGATCGGGAAGGGCTTTCGCCTGGGCTGAGACGTCCGGAGGTGGTGGCTGATGCGGATGCAGGTGGTGAGAGGTTGTTGGAACGGGCCGGGTTGGACGTCTTGCGCTGGAGAGCGGCGATGCGCTCGGAGAGGCTTGCGCCAGCCTTTGGCAGAGGCTGAGACCTGTCGCTTGACCTGGCGAGAGAGGGAGGATGTAAAGGAAGACCGGGTCAGCCAAGACATGCCCCTAGCGACAGGGCGAAACGAGTATCGGTCTGTATGGACTTACATGGCTGCGGATGGGCGAAGGCTCGGGGTGCGAGGAAAAGAGATGCCGCGACCAGCGCGAGACACGACTCTAAGGTAGTACTGCCCGCGCGGTCCCTGACAAGTGTGGAATGGTTACCGCTGCGGTGCAGTGCAGTGGCTCGCGTTCGGAAAGGTCAGGGTAGATGTGGGCGTATGGTGGTGTTGCGGACACGATGCTCGATCGGAGGCTAGGCGGCTTCGTGGGGAAGGTCTCAGGCTGAGAAGGTCGCTAAAATGCAAGGTGCGGCGATTGCGCCCTGAGCTGGCTGGGCGGCGAGGTGGCGCGTGCAGGCGCTCGACGAAGGCTTTCACTCCAAAGCCCACAAGCACACGTCGAAGCACACGCACACGCCGCTGAGAGCCTGCGTGCGTGGCTGACGTGGGTGCAAGCGGGGATGGCTCGAGCTGGTGCCGCTGCAGCCAATTTGCAAGTGCACGCGTGCGTAACTTGGCTGCCGGCATCGCCAATTCGCCTTGGAAAATCAGACCTGCCCTCCTTCTATCGGCTCCTCGCCCTGCGAAGGACAGACAACGGCGACATGTGATCTCACGGCAAAGCCGAGCGTATTGCAAACGGTCGCGAGTCGCTGCTCCGAGCGTGTGTGTGTGTGTGTGTGTGTGTGT